TAAATAAAATCTGGGGGGAAGGGCCTATCTAAACCTAGGACAGCTGGGGCTTGTGTCTTTGCGTTGATAGCCTGGTTGAACCAATAGTATTTAACATGAGTACTACGGTGAGCAGGCAGATTACAATATCTACCGCCTGGCCAAATCAGTCACTCCTGGGAGTAAAGGTGTCTTTCCAACTGGACTTCTGGGTGGTTTTATTTGGAATTAATGAACATTATCTGTGAGTCCTCTTGGACTTTGGGCTTCCGTAGTGTGACAAATATTTATTACTTAACCCAGGGGTGAGAAACCTTTTTTTCTGCCAAGGGCTAATTGGATAATTATAACATCATTTGTGGGCCATACAATGCTAGCAACTTAAAAATTAGTCTGTTATAGATTTATTGAATTTCGAGTCCCCCCTGCAGTTGCCTTGGAAAAGCTAGATCAAATGATTTTGTGGACTATATAAAACCCACGTGTGGGATGTTGTCCACTCTTGAATTCTTTAAAAGTCACAGTGCAGGGGCCAGCATTGTGGCAAAGCAAGTTAAGCTGCTGCCTGCAATGCCAGCATCATATATGAGCACTGGCTGGGCCCCGGCCAACCGTGCGGGAGACACAGATGGAGTTCCAGACTCGACTCTGGCCTGTCAGAGCCTGGCCCCAGTTGTTGTGGCTATTTGGGTAGTGAACCAGCAGGCAGAAGATATCTCTCCCTTTCTCTCCCTAGCTCTCTCCTTTTCTCTGTAACTCTGTCTTTCAGATAAATAAATCTTATAAAAAGAAGTCACAGTGCAAAGATACACTGGCATAAATTACTACCAAAACAAAAACCTCCTAAAGCTTTGAATTTTCAAATAATAGGAATTTCACTTCGCAGTCAAGCTTTATTAATTCACACATTACAATAGTCCCTAATTTAATGGTAGTACATAAATTTGAGAGTCAGATACATTATATTGTATAAAATGCTTTGGGTATGAAATAAAGAAACTCTAGTAGGAGTAACAATGGTTCTGAAAATAGTCAAGTTTTCATTCATTGGGCTTGGGCTTTTTTCTCAGAGGAATAGTCAAGGCTATATCTTAAAAATCACATTTATCCTGAAGACAACACCCCATCGCATATCTCAAATGTTCCTAATCAGCCTAAGGAAGTGTTTCATCACTGACTCAGAGAAAAGACCATGACTTGCACTGAATCACCAACAAGGTTTCCTGCACCATTAGATTTGTCACTGGGTCTTCTAAGCAACAGAAAAAAACAGTCTCAAAACGTCTTATCTTAAAAGATCTCAAAAGAGAAAGTTATTATCACTCCCAAACTCAGAATCCAAAGGGTTTGACCAGGTAAAACATATGCAGGACCATAACAGGTGAGAACCCTGAGGCATCTTGTGAGACAGCTATTGAAGGTTCTTTTGAGATTTTTTTTTGGTTTTCTCTTTCCTTTTAAAAACTGTCCTTAGACTCAAGACACTCACTACCTCCCACGAGAGTTGAAAATAAAGTAACCCAATTAAGAACTGACTAGAATTCATTCTTAGTTTTGGAGTGAAAACTAGGTAGAAATGACTTTGTCCTGACACCTTTATTTACCTTAGATGAAGTTTCATTTACCAATACAGAGCAGGTGACCCTGCCTCTCTCTTTGATCAAGGTTCGTGACCCCGAAAGATGCCCTTCAGTCATAAGTTTCCTGTATTTAAACAAGCTAGGGTTAAAAGGGGGGGCAGATGTAGAAAAAGTAAGTTCAGTAATTGATATCTGCACTCTGAATCCTAGGAAATATTTTCTACCTATTCAAAGTAAAGAAAACAGAGAGAAACTTGGTTTTGTTTGTCCACACTAAATTAAAACTATACAATCTCTCCTTGGTGACTGTTTCATGCCATTTTCATAAAAAATAGCAATCTAGACTCTCATTTTTCTACACTAGAAACAGCAAGTACAAACATATAGTTGAAAACCTGATTCTTTGGCTGGTGCCGCGGCTCAACAGGCTAATCCTCCGCCTGCGGCGCTGGCACCCTAGGTTCTAGTCCTGGTTGGGGTGTCGGATTCTGTCCAGGTTGCTCCTCTTCCAGTCCAGCTCTCTGCAGTGGCCCAGGAAGGCAGTGGAGAATGGCCCAAGTTCTTGGGCCCTGCACCTGCATGGGAGCCCAGGAGGAAGTACCTGGCTCTTGGCTTCGGATCTGCACAGTGCGCTGGCAGTAGCGGCCATTTATGGGGGAACCAATGGCAGGAAGACCTTTCTCTCTGTCTCTCTCTCTTTTACTGTCTAACTCTGCCTGCTCAAAAAAAAAACAAAAAAACAAAACAAAACAAAAAAAAACACCTGATTCCTTTAATTCATTCATGTATAAAGCTTTATTGAGCACTTAGTACATTGCAGATATTGTTCTAAGTGCAAAATGAGCCTACAGATATCTACAGACTTCAGTGATGGGCATGAGGATTCTTTGTTTACAGTGCTAAGTTCTAGTTTTCATGTCAGCCAAGACCAGTGTACATAAATTGAACAAGTGTAAGAATCACCTGGAGACTTTGCTAAAAAATATTGCTGGGCTGCACTCAGCATGTATTTTTTTTTCAGTAGGTCTGAAATAGGGTGCCCACATGAGCATTTCTACCAAGTTCCCAAGTAATGCTGATGCTGCTGTTCTGGGGACTGCACAATGATCACCACTTACCAAGACAAATGGCAGCTCTTCATACCATGACTCCCAGCTTTCAAACACTGACAATCCCTCTTCCAAAGAAGGCAATGAACCCATGAATGCTCATCATCACTCACAAGCAAGGAGAACTTGTGTTCTCTACACCACCTCAGACATAGAAGACCAACAGCTCCAGAATCAAAGAAAGAAGCACAAGATACAAATAACAAAGAAGAGAAATCTCTCCTTCCAGGGACTTTTCTCCTTTCTGTTTTACTTTTATTCTCTACCACAAAACAAAACAAAACAAAAATCACTTTTTTTCCAGTACAAGTGTTATGGAAAAGAATAATACTCCTTTAGACTTTTCACACTTTCTTACTTCAATAAAATCAGTTTTTCTTCCAAATTCATTTCTCATGCCTCCCCCCATCTTTTTTTCTTTTTCTGTGGGACTATCTCCTTCCAGAGCAAACAGAATCATAGGGTTAAAGGAACATTAAGAATTTACTTAATCCCTTCTTGGCCTCAGACAAGACTCTGTCTAAACCATCCCCAAATATAGCAATTTCAGCACAAAGAAGAACAGGCACTAAGAATTTGCCATTCAACATTCTGTCTTGAAGCTACTAATGTGCTTTCCCTCAGCCTTTTCTTCTCCAAGCTTATTCACCTCAGTTTTAGACTTTCCCTATTAGATTTAATAAACTTTATTTTGACTCATCTTTAATGAGTTTTTCTGCCTTACTCAGGGCCTGATTTATACATATATACATGTACATATATATATATACACACATATGTATGTGTGAATATATATATAATTCTAATGAGGAATTATTGTTTATATTCAGAAAGGGATAAATTAATTTATAGATGAATAAAAGGACTTTAATTTTAATAAGGAAAGATGTATGCATAAATGCCAACTAAAATACAATGTGATGGCATTAATGGAACAATTAACTGTAAGCATCTTATTAAAAGAAATGGGAATGTCTGATAGTTTTTAAAACTTTCACATATGTATATTTCACTATCCATTTCAACATAAAATGGATGGGAATTAGAGAACTTTAAAAATATGCCGGGTATAATCATGATTCATGATATTTACACAGGACAAAACATTGATTCTCTTTTGTTTTTTTCCTGTTATATAGTCTTTGTTATTAAAACAGGAGTCATAGTTAATGACCTAATCCTATACAAGCATACACATAGTGAACCTATTACATGATAAGCATTTCTCTGATAATAATTTATCCAATTCAAGTCTTGAAAGTCAGAGGTGTTTAGAGATTCAGGACAAGAAAGGATGAAGTCTATGTGAAATCACACATTTCTGTGTAGTTTATAAAAAGAATATAGAAAATACATTGGGTGATTCACTGTATTTCAACTTTGCTCATTCTAGATATCACTATTCAAAATTTAATCTTTGCTTTTGGAATGGTGAGGCGCTCTAGTCCAGCCTAGGCCTGAGGGATAAGTTTGTTTTCTTGCCTGTTGGGATCAAGGTGTACGGTGGAGGCGATGCATTTAGTCTCCAGAGAGAAGGAAGATGCTGCTTGCACAGCACTTCTACTCACCAGTCCATGCAGCAGCAAGGGTGTTGGCTTTGAAGGAAGCCAACTGTCCTGCTCTCCCAGCCAGAGGTAAAGAATTGCATTGGTGGCCACTAGAGGGAGGAGGATTAGGAATAGAGTAAATTGTGGGGAAAAGGCACCCATGAAAAACGCACATGGGACAACCAACACATCACCAACCACCGCCTAGCAGCTACCTCTACCTCTCTGAGGGACTATAACAGGGTCAGTATACACCATTAACCCAGAGACCCAGACACCAGTAATTATCGTAGCATCCCAGTATACAGCCCCTTAACTTTGATGGCTGGAGAAGGGAGTTTGAATAGGATGGTGGGAAACACACATGCATACACACACAAACACACAAGCACACTGTCATACATTCTCATCCCCCATTACAAGAAGCTGCATCTGTGATGTCTGATTCTTGCTCATTTTCTTATTTAAAACACTTGATGTTCTTTACCAAGAATGTGTTCACGAAAAGCAAACAGCCCACCTTCATGTTAGTCTTGGGAGAAGCACCAGCAGAGACACTCATTGTGCCAAGATGTATTTTACCAACAAATCTGTACAAATTACATGAGGTTGAAAACAAATGGAATATAATATAATTAAAGCAAAGTTTCTTTTGCTAAATTACAGTTGAAGCAAACCTGCAAGAAATGTTTCCAATTAGCTTCTTTAGCAAACACAAAACAGAGCTCAGATACGTTTTGTTCTCCATCCTGCCCTCTGAGTGGGCTGCCTAATTGGTGTCTTACCTCCAGCACAAGTAGCTGAGCAGTCTGACCAAGGCTGATAATTCCATGAAAAGCCAACCTCATTATCTCCACTGCCAGTTCGAGTGATGGGAACGTTGAACTTATACCTAATGCCCAAATTCTGTTCCTGAAGCAGAACCTGCCATTGAAAACAACTGGTGAAGACAATTAAAATACAATGAGCCTTCATTCAGATATTTATTATTTCTTTTGAAGAAGAAAATGTCATAAAGTCCTACAGTAAACTTAAAATACACTTTAAATCAATGAGTTTATATAAAAATTTCTCTTTCCATTTTCACAGGTAGTTTGAAGCCATTTCTGTCTTCTGTGGTCATAAAAATATTATTTAAGAAAGCATTGAAAAAATTAAATATTCAGATGGAAAGAGCACTATGGCTTTAACTTTGCACTGATTTTATACTTTTGGGCAAATCATTTTGCCTTCCTTTAGCTTAATTTATTGTCGGCAGAAGAGTGATAATAAAACCCGCCCCTTCCTACTTCATAAAGGGGAATTACAAATAGTAGAAATAAAGTGGCAAAACACACTTACCATAACAATGAGATTTTCTGAGGTGGGACCTAGAGCTTCCAGGGATTCTGGTTCATCAGTTGGTCTCTTGTAGTGAAAAGCTGTCCCAGCAACATCAAACTTTCTAGGCCAGTCAATAGTCCAGGCACCATTAATATAGTAATCATCCCCTTCAGATTTTAAAGCTAAGAAAAAAAATCACAATTCACCTACAGATGTAAAATTTCATTTATCAAATCATCATAACCCAAATGTCTACAAACCGATAAAAAACTGTGATATATATAGTACAATGGATTGTTATTCAGTCCTAAATATTGTTCAACCATAAAAAGGAATGAAGTAATGATACTTCGTACTCATAGAGATGAACCTCAAAAATAATTAGGTCACATATTATACCTCATTTGCATGAAAAATGCAGAATAGGTAAAAAATCCTCAGACAGAAAAGAGATTTGGTGGTTGTCAAGGGTTAGGGTTAGAGAGAATGGGGAGCAACTGCTTAATGAGTATGGGTTACCCTTTTGGGGTGGAATGTATTATAAACCACTGAATTGTTAGCTTTTTTAAAAAAATTCAAAATGTATTTATATGAGGGACTGAAAGAAAAAGAGTTGTCCCATGTGCTAGTTCATTCTCCAAATGCCTAAATTGGCCTGAAAGCCAGGAACCAGGAACTTAAACAAGGTCTTCTCTGTGGATGTCAGGAAACCAATTACCTGAACCACTATCACTGCCTGCCTCCCAAGGTCTGCGTTAGGAAGAAGCCGGGGTCAGGAGTCATAGATGGGTATCAGGCACTCCAATATGGGATGCAGATGTATTAGTCACTAGTCAAATGCCTGCCCCTAAATTGTTAACTTTAAATGCTTAATTTTAAGCAATGTGGATTTTATCTCAGAAAAAAAGGAAAAATGCCAGATGGATGAATATTTAAATGCAACTATAATTAAATGATGAAATTTATAGAGAAAATACAAGAGGACCTTTTTCTTATAATATTGGGGCCATAAAAAGGTCTAAGCATGACAAGAAACTCAGGAACCATGAAGGAAAAGATTAACACATGTGCATGCATAACCTTTTAAAAACTTTATGGGAAAATATATTTTACAAAGTTTAAGAATATATGAATACAGAAAAGAGTTTTTAGCACTGCCATATAAACTCCTGTAAATAAATAAGACAGTGATAATCATGTCACTTTAATTTTTATTACCTTCCTAGCTTGCTTAAAAAACTTCAACAGATCAGATAAACAAGATGAACAAGCAGAAGCAGCTCAAAAGGACTTACTGTTAATATTACAGAGCCTTTTCATCTTCCCCACCCCACCTGCCTGAAAAATATATTTGCACTTGCTTCAGATATGTTGCAAAGATTTATTTAATTGCCAAAGCAAACAAAAACTAACCTTTTGAGATAGGAATATGTCAAACAAAATAAGGACTATTTGATCTTTAATTTTTCTTATAAAAATTTCCTTTAAAATTTATATTTGCAACCTCTACTTCTAGCATTTTCTCTCTGATTTACAATATCAAAATTATTTAGGTTTTATAAGAACATCTGAACCTGTATTATCTGAAATAGTAAAATAAAATTTTAAAACAACTCCTAGCAGCTTTAAATACTTCAATTCGAGCTTTCATCATCTATTTTCTCAAATACTAAGTGAAAGAATCCTAATTCCCTTTGCTATCAGGAATTCCTAATTCCTGGTACCAGTTCAGAAAAAACACAAAGCATTTAAAAAACACTGAATGAGAGCTAACTAATGGAGCATTCCAAACAGGAAATGATTTAAGGGAAGAAGCTGATGCTAGGGCATTTATTTTTGTTTTCAGCCTAATTGATACAGAAAAGAACTCAAAATTATGATATGAAAACAAGGGGACTTCTTAAAAAAAGAAATCACTCACTGATACAGGTAGTATGTCTGAAGATGAATTATTATTTTAAAAAGCTTTAAAGTGAGGTGGGCCCAATCCCCTCTTAAAATGCCTTGGTTCAAAGGCTCCACTCCTATTCCAGCTTCCTACTAACGTGCATCCTGGGAGGCAGCAGGTGATGGCCCAAACAGTTGGGACCCTGCCGCCCATGTGTGTGGCCAGACCCAGAATGGCTCAGCCCTGGCTGTTGTAAGCAGCTGGGAGCAAACCAGTGGATGGGGGCTCAATCTGTCTCTCAAATAAATAATACTTTTCAAAAAGCTTTAAGAGGGCAGGCATTTGGCCTAGCAGTTAGGCTGCCAGCTAGGAAGCCTGCATCTCACATGGGAGTGCCTAGGTACGAGCACCTGGCACTCCTGGTTCCTGCGCCTAACTCCAGCTTCCTGTTGAAGAGAACCATAGGAGGCAGCAATGAGGGATAAAATAGTTGAGTGGCTGCCACCCAGGTGGGAGACCTAGACTGAATTCCCAGCCCTCAGCTGCAGCCCTCAAGCTGTTGCGGCCATTTGGGGAGTGAACCAGCAAATGAGAGCTGTTTCACTCTCTGTCTGTTTCACTCTCTCACTGATTCACTGTTTCTCAATAAATAGCTTTTTTAAAGTTTAAACGGAAAAGGCATGATATTATAAAGAGAATGACAGCACTCATTCTGGTCACTTACTAGGAGTTTCTGAGAGACTAGAGGGATTAAAGCTATCGGAAAGGATCTAATATAAAATAAATAGGAACTCCCACTTATTTCCATGTTGAAAAAACTGACACTAGATTTTCCATGGAACTGTAAGTCCTCCAGGACTCCATACCAGCACTCCCACTACTCCAGACACTGGACTGAGGGCCAACAGCCACAATCCTGGGTTCTCCTTTGTAAGCCAGCATCAAGATTCACATACCTGTGCTAGGACTGAGAGGAGCTGCCCATAACCCCACTGCTGCTGTCATCAACAGAAGAAGATACACAGAGACTGTACTACAGTGTCCAAATGGAACTAAAGACAAAGTAGTTGACAAAACCATTACCCAAAGACACATCTTCAGGAAAGAGTCTTTTAATATAAGAGCCATTCTTTAAAAGTGATAGTGACAAATGATATACAAATGTCAATGTAGGGATACTGGAAGTATGAAAAATCAAGTGAATGTGATGCCTGCAAAAGAATACAATACTGCTTTAGTAACAGACTCCAAAGAAAACAAAATTGACAAAATGCCTGATAAATCCAAGGAATAATTATAAGAATGCTCAAAGAGATATGAAAGAACACAGAGGGAAAGTTTAATGAAACTAGGCAAATACATTATATGAATTAAAAACATAATGGCCGGCGCCGCGGCTCAATAGGCTAATCCTCCGCCTAGCGGCGCTGGCACACCAGGTTCTAGTCCCGGTCGGGGCACCAGATTCTGTCCCGGTTGCCCCTCTTCCAGGCCAGCCCTCTGCTGTGGCCAGGGAGTGCAGTGGAGGATGGCCCAGGTGCTTGGGCCCTGCACCCCATGGGAGACCAGCAGAAGCACCTGGCTCCTGGCTTCAGATCAGCACGGTGCGCAGGCTGCGGCGGCCATTGGAGGGTGAACCAACGGCAAAGGAAGACCTTTCTGTCTGTCTCTCTCTCTCACTATCCACTCTGCCTGTAAAAAAATAAAAACAAACAAACAAACAAAAACAAACACAAAAACCATAAGCAGGCCAGCGCTGCGGCTCACTAGGCTAATCCTCTGCCTAGCGGCGCTGGCACCCCGGGTTCTAGTCCCGGTTGGGGTGCCGGTTCTGTCCTGGTTGCTCCTCTTCCAGTCCAGCTCTCCGCTGTGGCCTGGGAGTGCAGTGGAGGATGGCCCAAGTGCTTGGGCCCTGCACCTGCATGGGAGACCAGGAGGAAGCACCTGGCTCCTGGCTTCGGATCAGCGCAGTGTGCCGGCTGCAACGTGCTGGCCATAGTGGCCACTTGGGGGGTGAACCAATAGAGAAAGGAAGACCTTTCTCTCTGTCTCTCTCTCACTGTCTAACTCTGCCTGTGAAAAAAATAAGCAAAAACATAAATATTGAAAATAACTCGAACAGAAATATTAGAAATGAAGAACCCAATAAATCAAGTTAAAAATACAGATAAAAGCCTCAAAACCAGACTACATCAAGTAGAATAAAGAATACCTAAACTTGAAGACAGGTCTTTTGCAATACCCCAGACAGCAAAAGATAAATGTGATAAAAAACAAAAACAATAAAGTCAGCCTGAGATTTTGAGGATACTATTGTATTAACAAATATTTAAACTTGGGGGATATCTAAAGGAATAAAGAAGTAAAGGCATAGAAACTTATTCAATTAAACATCACTGGAAAATGTCTCCAAGCTTGAAAAAGAAGTGGGCATCCAAGTACAGGAAGGCCAAAGGCTGTGAAACAGACATTTAGTCATTTAGTCAAACTCTCAAATGTATAATAAAGATAATTTCAAAATATGCAAGAGAAATTTACTAAGTCACTTTAAATAGTCCATATTAGACTAATAGCAAAAACTTTATAGAGTAGGAGGGAATGGAATGATATATTCTAAGCTCTGAAAGAAAAAACTGCCAACCAACAGTTTTATACCCAGTAACACTGTCCTTCATAAATTAAATAGAAAGACTTTCCAAGACAAGTAAAAACTAAGGAAATTCATGACCTCCAGGCTACCTTACAAAAGATGCTTAGAGAGCATCCTACCCACAGGAGCAAAAGAAACATAATCCCCATCATAAAACATACGAAAGTATAAAGCACAAAGGAAAAAAATGAAGGATATTCAAAAGACATTTTCTAAATGGCAAGACTAAATAATTACTTGCCAATAATAACCTTGAATATAAATGAGCTAAATTATCCCAAGTAAAATATATAGACCAGTTGAATAAGTGAAAAAAAAATTAACTATATGCTACCTACCAAAAAACCTTACTTTAACACTACATATACACAGAGACTTAAAGAGAAAGGACAAAAAATACATTCCAGAAAAACAGAAACCAAAAGCAAGCAGGGGTACCTGTTCTTATATCAGACAAAACAGACTTCAAGACAAAAACTGAAAAACTGTAAGAAGAGACTAAGAAGGTCAAGAGATAATGGTCAAGTTAACAAGATGATATAATGATTGGTAAATGTATATGCATCTAATGCTAGAGCACTGGATTTTATAAAACAAACATCCAATCTAAAGGATGAGAAAAGTTTCAATGCAATAATACCAGGAGTATTACTGAACAAAAATGGAAATGCAAATCAAAACCACAGTGAAGTATCACTTCACTCCAGTTAGAAAGATAATTATCAAAAAGAAAACATGTAAGTGCCTGTGTGGTATAGCAGGTAAAGCTGCAGCCTGCAACACCAGCATCCCATATTGGCATGTGTTTGAGTCCCAGCTCCCCCACTATTGATCCAGCTCTCCGCTAATGGCCTGGAAAAATCAGCAATGATGGCCAAAGTATCTGGGCCCCTGCCACCCATGTGGGAAACCCAGAAGAAGGTCCTGGTTCCTGGCTTTGGCCTGACTCAGTCCTGTCTATTTTGGCCATTTGGGGAGTGAATCAGCAGATGGCAGATCTCTCTCTCTCTCTCTCTTTCTCTATCCTTTCCTCTGTAAACTCTTTCAAATAAATCTTTTTTAAAAAGACAAAATAATAGACACTAGGCATGAATGCAGAGTAAAGAGAACATTTGTATATTCTTGGTGGGAATGCAAATTAATATAGACATTATAGAGAACAGTGTGGAATCTCCTTGAAAAACTAAAAATAGATATACCCTATGACTCAGAATCCTCCTTCTATAACATGCCTGAAGTATATGAAAGCAGTATATAAAAGAGATGAATACAGTCTACTATTCATTACAGCACTATTCACAATAGCCATGATATGAAATCAGCCTACATGTCTGTCAATGGATGAATCAATAAAGAAAATGTGGTATACAAACACATTGGAATATTATTGAGTCATAAAGAGTGAAATCTTGATTTTGCAACAAAATACAAGGAACTGGAGACCATTATGTTAAGTGAAATACATGGACTGAGACAAATATTGCATGTTTTCTTTCATGTGTGTAAGATTAAAAAAAGTCAACCTGAACTTAGCTTAGTAACTACTAGTGGTTGGGATGGGCAGGCTTTGGGGCAGAGGAAGGTTTGATAACAAGTAGTAAAACACAATCTGACAGGAGTAATAATTTCCGGTATTCCACAACACAGTGATAGTGGATTATTTACTGTATAAATTCCTGGAAGATAGGATCTGGGATACTACAAACCTTAAGAAAAGATAAGAAAATGGATTGGTTTCATTGGTTCACAATGAGTATACGTGTTGAAATACTGCACTGGACTCCATGAAACTGTACACGTATTATGTGTTTAAAAAATTTTTTAAATTGTTTTTAAAAAACTATGCATGGATTTCAACATTTTTGCAGTTAAACAACTTATCCCTTAATTCCATTTAATCCAAACTTTATCAAGTGTCTTTGTATAAGGATAATTTATTATGACAAGATAGTATTTTTTAATCTCAAGAATACTAAGGTAAATTTAACATTTGAAATCAAATCAATGCATTTACTATATTAAAAGAAGAAGAAAAGCCCACTGATCATGTAAATAGATTTAGAAAACCTCAATACCCATTCATGAATGAAACTCAAAGAAAACTAGACATAGAAGGCAACATCCCCAACCTGATAAAAGGCCATCTACATAAATTGTCTAACTAAAATTATGTTTAATGATAAAAATAACACTTTCCCCTTAAAAACAGTAAAAATAAAAAGATGTTCAGTTTTCTCACCTCTATTCCACATTGTATTGAAGGCCCTGAACACTATTTTAAGGTACCAAAAAAAGAAAAAAAAGGCATATAATTTGGAAAGTCGAAGACCAATTGTCTGTGTTCAAGGTTGACATGAAATCTAAATATAAAGTCCAAATTAACTTATAAAACAATTATTAGAAGTAATAAGTGAGTTTTATCAGGTCTCAGGACTTGAGGGCAATATAAAAAGAGGAAATCCAAATGGCCAACAGACACATGAAAAAATGTTCAGGATCACTAGCCATCAGGGAAATGCAAATCAAAATCACAATGAGGTTTCACCTCACCCGGGTTAGAATGGCTCACATACAGAAATCTACCAACAACAGATGCTGGCGAGGATGTGGGGGAAAAGGGACACTAACCCATTGTTGGTGGGAATGCAAACTGGTAAAGCCACTATGGAAGACAATTTGGAGATTCCTCAGAAACCTGAATATAGCCCTACCATACACCCAGCCATCCCACTCCTTGGAATTTACCCAAAGGAAATTAAATTGGCAAGTAAAAAAGCTGTCTGCACCTCAATGTTTATTGCAGCACAATTCACAATAGCTAAGACCTGTTTGCCAATCTGTTGTTGATTTGCATTTCCCTGATGGCTAGTGATCCTGAATATTTTTTCATGTGTCTGTTGGCCATTTGGATTACCTCTTTTGAAAAATGTCTATTTAGGTCCTTGGCCCATCTCTTAAGTGGGTGGTTTGTTTTGTCGTTGTGGAGTTTCTTGGCACCAGAAATCAATCCAGCCGGCGCCGCGGCTCACTAGGCTAATCCTCCGCCTAGCGGCGCCGGCACACCAGGTTCTAGTCCCGGTCGGGGCACTGGATTCTGTACCTGTTGCCCTTCTTCCAGGCCAGCTCTCTGCTGTGGCCAGGGAGTGCAGTGGAGGATGGCCCAAGTGCTTGGGCCCTGCACCTGCATGGGAGACCAGGAAAAGCACCTGGCTCCTGGCTCCTGCCATCGGATCAGCGCGGTGCGCTGGCTGCGGCGGCCATTGGAGGGTGAAGCAACGGCAAAGGAAGACCTTTCTCTCTGTCTCTCTCTCTCACTGTCCACTCTGCCTGTCCAAAAAAAAAAAAAAAGAAAAAAGAAAAAAAGAAAAAAAGAAAAAGAAATCAATCCAAACATCTACAGCCAACTTATATTTGATCAATGATCTGAAACCAATTCCTGGAGCAAGGACAGTCTCTTCAACAAATGGTGCTGGGAAAACTGGATTTCCACATGCAGAAACATGAAGCAAGAAGCCTACCTTACACCTCACACAAAAATCCACTCAACATGGATTAAAGATCTAAATCTACAACCCAGCACCATCAAATTATTGGAGAACATTGGAGAAACCGTGCAAGATATAGGCACAGGCAAAGACTTCCTGGAAAAGACCCCGGAGGCACAGGCAGTCAAAGCCAAAATTAACAAGTGGGATTACATCAAATTGAGAAGTTTCTGTATTGCAAAAGAAACAGTCAGGAAAGTCAAGAGGCAACCGACAGAATGGGAAAAAATATTTGCAAACTATGCAACAGATAAAGGATTAGTAACCAGAATCTACAAAGAAACTTCATATTTTTAAGATATTAGTTCTCTATAAGTTGACATATAGATTCTATAAATATTTTATTGAAATTGAAAGTTGATAATAAAATATAAATAGAAATGTAAAGGATTTAGAAAAGCAAAAAGTAACTTTCATAAGAAGAACAAATTTGAAGACCTATTCCTTCTGGATTTCCAAACCCACTGGAAAGGTCCAATACAACATAGTTTTAGCTTAAGGATAGACACATAGATCAATGGGTAGGAGTACCCATACACACATGTTTAATTGATCTCCAACAAAGATATCAAAGTAATTCAAAGAAACAAATTATCTTTTCAACAAACAGTGCTATAGTAACAGACTATCCATATTGAAACAAATTGACCTTTATATAAAAATTAACTCATCATGGATCACATATTTAAATGTAAAAACTAAAAATGTAAGTTCTTGAAAAAACATTGAAGATAATCCTTGTCACCTTTCTGAGATAAGCAAAATTTCTAAGATAGGACATGAAAATATAAACCATACAAAAATTCATAAGACTGGGCATTTGCCTTAGCAGTTAAGATGCTACTTGGGACACTTATATCCCATATCTGAATGCCTGGGTTCAAGTTCTGGCTCTACTTCAGTTTGGGCTTCCTGTTAATGTGCACACTGAGAGGCAGCAGGTAATGGCTCAGGTAGTTGGGTCTATGCCACCCATGGATGAAACCCAGACTGAGATCAGGCTACTGACTTTAGCCTGGATCAGCCTTGGCTATTGTGGTCATTTGGGGAGATCTCCCTCTATGTCTCTGTCTCTCTCTCTACCTCTCGGATAAAGTAATTAAAAATGTTCTAAAAATTAATACAGCTGTGACACATGATGATATGGGAACATATATATTTATAGTCAATAACATATCATAATGAATTTTTAAAGTAATAAATTGGATTTCATCAAAATTAAAACATGTAATTTTAAAATTCATAAGCCAGTTATAAGCACATATATAAGATCACTTATATGAAATTACAGAATAAATGAAAGTAATATATACAATGTCAAAAATTAAATTATTAAGACTGGGACTGAGGGAATTTGACTGAAAAGGGAATGAAAGATAGTTTTGGAATCATGGAAATGATCTAAATCTTGTTTGTGGATTATGTAATTGTTAGTTCTCTTTGAACTATACTCTTATAGTAGATGCATTTTATTACATATAAATTTTACCCAATAAAATTTATATTAGAAATTCAAATAATCAGCCCAGTGGAGAGTCAACGATATATTAATTTTTCCTTTTAGCATTTTACATGTGTCCTATAAAACTGAGAATTTCATTCATTTTAGTGTAAAAGTATTTCACCTCAAAGCAGTATGTCTTTTCTTTCATGATACTATACTGACTTTCCTAATTGTTGGAATCTAGCAAAATAGGGTTACTTGCCACAGCAGTTACTTTGCCACTTACGATGTGTCCTTCCCATATTGGAGTGCCTGCTGTGAGTTCCAGCAACTCTGCTTCTGATCCAGTCCCTTGCCAATGCACACCCTGAGAGGAAGCTGGTGATGGCCAAAGTACTTGGGTTTCTGCCACCCACATGGAAGACCAGGATGAAATTCCAGGCACCTGACTTTGGTCTGGCCCAGTCCCAGTTTTGGCAAGCATTTAGGGAGCAAACCAGCAGATGGCAAATCTCTGAGTCTCTGCCTTTTAAATAAAAGTGAAAATGAAAAAAATTAAAACAACTAGCAGAATAACGTACCAATATAGTTCTTTGACATGGAAACTTCTCTGACTTCAATGTGAACGGAGCCTCTTGGTATCTGCACAACTTCCATGTATCCTGCAACACAAAAGACAAGTCGTTAATAAGCAGCCTCTGTCATAAAATGAGTAACCATTCCATAACTATACTTTTCTTATTCTTCTATTCTTTCTTTGGCTTTGCACTTCATAAATTATGAAATTTGGGCAAATTCTCCTTTGGGTTCATGAATACATTTTAGAGAAAAATCATTTTATAATCTTTTGCCTTAGAAATATCTCAAGATGTTTTTAAAGCCTCAACATATACAATACAGGTTCTTTTTCTTTTTTTCTCAACATGTTTCTTATATCAATGTTCTGTGGGAACTCACACCTTAAAGAAACATGGCTAAATTATGTCAAGTAGAGAGGACTATAACACTTTCTTAAAGCATCATACATGAAGCCACATTTGATACTTTAAAAACTGAAGGAAATTTTGGGGAAAAAACCTACTTTCTTCCCAATAAAGAAATTTTAAACTAAGTGAGGGAGGGGAAATCAAGTGTTTTTGGCTATTCCAAGTACACCAGAGGTGTGAGGAAGCGTTCTCTCTACACACTCACCTCCTCTGGGCAACGAATCATTGAAGAACCCTTCAATGGCATCACATGTGCTTCCATCCCCTCCACAGACTCGACATCTATCTTCCCTAGCATCAGATCCCAAAATATTATCACAACCTACATGCTGAAAACAGAGAAGAATATTCAGTGTGTCAAAATGAGAAGCTCTTGGAACCATAACTAACCAGATACATGAAACTTATTCATTTAGTTGTTTTTCCAGTAAAGGAAATCGAACTAGAAAAATACTACTTCCACTCTTCAATAAGTCACAGCTAATATTTCTCAACAGCTAAGATCAAGAAAAAAAATCCCATTTCCTGGAATGTACACCTGTATTTTGATCTGAGACTTTGTCTTCACTTTTAGATATCATGCTCTAATCATTAAAGAATTCTAATTGGATAGATTCTTAATTATCCCCTCCATGAAGAAATTTAAAAATTCAAGAACTAAGAAAAATGGCATATGGTCCTATACAGAGTTATAACAGCAAGAGTTCTGACTGAGAATTACTGTCTGCCCTTTCTAAACCACTGACTGTTTTTGGATATTGTAAGTATTGAAAATTAGTTTTGGAATTCACATCTTGGTGACTCTTTAAAAATGAGTATGTATCCACTAGCTGAATACAACTGCCATAAACAAAACAGGGCTGTACGCATGCAATGTAAGAAGCTGAAATTCGACCTATTTTGCATTTAATCATAAAAATTAGGATTTTTGCATATATTAGGTACTTATTTGGTACTTGAATTTGTACAACTGACCTTTAGCTATTGACACCTTTAATCTCTCTCTCTCTCTCTTTTTTTTTTTTTTTTTTGACTTTTGACAGGCAGAGTGGACAGTGAGAGAGAGAGACAGAGAGAAAGGTCTTCCTTTACCATTGGTTCACCCTCCAATGGCCGCCGCAGCCAGCGCACTGCGCTGATCCAATGGCAGGAGCCAGGTGCTTCTCCTGGTCTCCCATGGGGTGCAGGGCCCAAGTTCTTGGGCCATCTTCCACTGCACTCCCAGTCCACAGCTTGGAAAAGGGGCAACCGGGACAGAATCTGGCACCCCGACCGGGACTAGAACCCGGTGTGCTGGTGCCGCAAGGTGGAAGATTAGCCTATTGAGCAGCGGCGCCGGCCGACACCTTTAATCTCTGAATAGAGCCTATACCTGGGTCTTTGCTATCTGAAAAAAACTTGAATACTGTCACAAGTAATTTTATTCAAGGAAAGAAAGTATCCTTTCCCTATCCATACACATAAACACATATAAATACACAAACTGGATTATTGTATACACATGGAGGCATGTAGACAGAATGATAGAAACTTTCACAAGAAATTATGAGATGAAGTAAAATAGTGTTTTTTTTTCTCCTCTTTCTCAGTTTCACCACTTTGTTTTGTGCTTCTCTTTAAAGAAAAACAAAACCAAACAAGCAAAAACTTATAAAAACTGATTTTTGTAGCTTTTCTTATTAGATAGCATTCATATACAAGTCAAGGAAAATAATATAAATATATTCTACAAATCCCAACTTGTCTAAGTTCCTAAAGTAAATGCATTAATGACAAAGACTAATTCTATAATTAAAACCATTGCAAATGCTTTAAAAGAGATAAAATCGAAGGAGCATAGTTGTTTCACACTTTGGGAAAAATTATGCTATGAAATACATCAAATAATCTTCCAACAAAAACATATGGCAGCCATACGAATAACAGCTGAATCCTTTTTCCCTCCTTTTTCCTATCATATTTTTTGTAAGCAGAAAAAAATGATAGAAATTAAAGTCCAAAACATTTTCATACCTTTGGCAATCACTATAAACATAACTAGATCACATACTTGCATGGTGCTTGAGTATGAATGGGTCATTCTACCTTTAAGTACATATATTGTATTCTAAATTGGAAATTAACTTTCTCTAAAATGTGGCTCTTTTTAAAAAAATCCAAAAAGTATTAATTAGGAGATATAATTTGAAAAAAAGACAAAAGTCTCAAAAATTTGAACAAAAGGCAGTAAAATATAGAACCTTGCATTCTCCATTGATACAGATATCCAGTGAATCTGCATTGCACTGGGTCCCGTCAATCACCGCAGGGGCACGTTCAGTGTAGAAATTATAACCTTCAGCCAAACAGTTTAATGCACAAGGCTTTACACCACCTGGACAAATATAGTAGAAGAGAAGTAAATGGAATGTTTCTCCTGATGAACAATGATTCAGTATTATTCACAGCAACTTTATAATTCACATAGATATCATTCCCTGACTATATTTTTATTTTTTAAAATTTTTTTTATTTATTTGACAAGTAGAGTTATAGACAGTGAGAGAGACAGAAAGATCTTCCTTCAGTTGGTTCACTCCCCAAATGGCCGCTACGGCTGGCACTGTGCTGATCCGAAGCCAGGAGCCAAGTGCCTCCTCTGGTCTCCCTTGTGGGTGCAGGGGTCCAAGCCTTGGGCCATCCTCCACTGCCCTCCTGCGCCACAGCGGAGAGCTGGACAGGAAGAGGAGCAACTGGGACTAGAAACCATATGGGATGCCGGCACCACAGGCGGAGGATTAGCCAAGTGAGCTATGGTGCCGGCCCCTCGTTCCCTGACTATAAACATCTTCCCTGACTATATACCTAAATATGTAGGTTTTTTCCCTTTTCTTTTTCTTACCTAGTTTCATTACTTATGTAACTTAAAGGAAGATCTACAGAACAGTTTCAAGGTTTATACTTTTGGGATATTTCCTATATATGTTTACAATATATTTTTAGAAGTAACAGTGGAGGCAACAGAATGTTTAAAAAAAAACAGATAAAAGAAGAATTGCTTTTGAAATTAACCAAGGAAATAGAGTTTAAGGAGGTGTGAAACACTACATTGCATAACAAATAGCAATTTCCGTTACATATATTACTGAAGCAGATTTCGAAACTACCATATCAAACAGAAATATGGCAGTGGTAAAATTAAACTAAATTTGCATGTGCCTTAAATTTAACACATTCCATGAGCTTGGTTGTAGCATGAAGATAAATTCTTAAGATATTAGGAAATTTAAGATGAAGTAAATTACAACATTAAATCTGAATTATTCTTATGAAATTTATAAATCAAAGATACATGTTAAGTCTAACATTAAACAAATAATTAAAACAATCTCTATTTTTACTTTGTAAATAAATGTATTTGACTACTTTCATTAGCCATTGACACTGTCATTTTTTAATATTGAAGTGAAAATAGGCATAAATAATAGCAGTGAAGAAAAACAGATTACATATCATAACTATAGTATATTACAAAAATAGCAGTAAACATGAATTTATTGTATTGAAAAGCAAAACATGAAAAAGCTACTATTTATAAATATGTATTATCAATTGAAATTTTTACTTAAAAACCTTTCTTTTGAATACTTATCTCATGAGGTTTGAAATATATGCTGACCTTATTCTAATTATGCTGATAAAAATTTCACTTCAAAATAAAGAAGACTATTTCTTTTTAAAAAGTTTTTAATTTTAATTAGTTTTTAACAAACTCAATTATAGTTCATAGTTGCAATTCTAAGAATATAATGCTATTTGCTTCCTTTTCCCTCCCTCTCACCCTCCCCCAGAATATTATTTCTAATTAAGAAAATAAAACAATCTGATGAAATGGCATGCCTAAGTCTCAGTGAAGTTCTCAGAAACCAGGTTTCTGCAGGGTTAATAAAAAGAAAGCAGCAGACAGAGGGATGGAGTCAATGAGAAAGCAGGAAGAGCCATTCCACCAAGGATCACTGTTAGGTTGCATATTGTTTGGTAAGATGATGGCCCAATATGTAAGATGTAAAGATGAAAATCTAGATTTTTTTCCAATATAAACCCTTTAAGCTTTTAAATGCTGACAACTCAGTAAAGTTTTCAAAATTGTGTAGAGGCTAATATATATATATATATATATATATGCATGTATGTATATACACACATACACACACACACCAGTTTAAAATAGTCCCTGAATTACCAGTTTACCACCTCTGGCTTGAGTCCATATTTTTTCCTATTTTACATGTTTATTGGCCTTAGGCTTCTATATAACTTACAATGTTATTTTTAGGCTTAAGTTAATGGTACATTTTGCTGTACTGAGAAAAGAAATAACACAATAAATACAATAATTTCTTCCTGAATTAATAATCAAACTATACTTTTATAAGATCCTCATGAATAAAATCACTCTACATTTCCATGAATCTTACTGGAATTATTTTCATTACTACTCAATATAGTCCTTTTTTCATCTTATTGTAATATTTTAGAACTTAATGTAGCATTTTATGTAGAAAGCCTTAAAAAGAGAACCTGAGTCTTTTGCTTACCCAATTTTAACATTACATTCACCATGTAGCCTAATATTTGATAGGCAGGACATAGACAGGTTATACTCCTCAGCCCACTACACTAGATGACAGAAATAGGAATTAATTTCTTCTTTGTTTACTGCTGAAGACACGTTCAACTTCTGCTCTGAGAACTTTCCGAAGAGAAATGTCAGCAAGTTGGTAGAAGAGGATCTTTACACCACTGCATCTCCACATTGGTACTGAGCGTGAAAACTACCCACAGAGAACAGCACCTTTGTGGGCGTCTGAGGGTCCAGCAGAGAAGTCCCAGCACACCACTGGAGAAAAAAATATCCAAGAACGGATGCACTGAAGAGGTCTAAGAACGGTTTCATTTTATCTGTATCTTACTTTCCTCAAGGCAGCACAGTTCAGTGAAAAGACAGACCTCGCCCTTGGCCTGTGATTTCTCTCACTGGGGAAAGTAAGAGCACAGAGACTGAGCACCCAGCTCGCCTACCTGTATGGGACACTGCTCAACAGGTCCATTTCTTCCATGTCCACCCCAAATACGGAGGTGACAGGCATGGCTGGATGGTTGAGAGCAAAGAAGAAAGGCTGTAAACACAACTAATCATTCAGTGGATTACATTAGGAAGACCAACCATGAGACATTTGGTATGCTTTGTCTGTGGACCCATGGATACCCCCAAATTCTGTGCACTTCTCCTACCCTTAAACACTCCCCAAGGCATGCAGCCCAAGTGCACTCTCATGGATGACCGGCCCAAGTGTCTCCTGTAGACAGCCTGATTGACCTTTGGAGGGTTGGGAGAAGGCACACAACTTCAGCATTTTAGGGTACCACTCTAAGGAAGATAAATTGAGGCTTTCCATGTCCGAACTGGCTTTGCCAGAGAGGGCATACAATCTTAAGGATTCTTCCCCAAGAGAGGAAAGAAGTGTGGAATAGGTGCATCCACAGAAAAGGTCTAAGAGAGCCTCAATTTCCCTACCTGGGCTGTTTCTCTCCAGAAACCAGTTAGTAAAATCTGGAGGGAGTAATTCCTTCTTCAAATGTGAAATTGGTAACAATACTTCAGGAAACACGAAAACATGACACCACTAATTAAATATATAATATTTGAGTAACCAAACCCAAAGAAATGGAGATACACAAATAGCCTAACAAAAATTAAAAATAATTGTTTTAAGGAGGCTATGAGAGCTACACAGGATCACAACCCAGTGAGATTAGAAAAATAATACATTAACAAAATGAGTTAAATTAAGAAATAGAAATGCCAAAAAAGTTCTGGAGCCGAACAATCAACAAATAAGATGGCAAAGTACAATAGAAAGCATCAACATGTCAAGCAGAAGAAATAATCTGTAAACAGAAAGAGGGGTCATTTGAAAACATATTAAGTCAGAAGAAAGAAAAGGAAAAAAAGAATAAAAATGAATGAAGAAAATCTACAGGATTTATGGAACATCACCAATGGAGCCGTAACATTTATATTCTGGGAATGCCAGAAGGAGAAGAGAAAGAAGAAGAAAATTTATGGAAACAAATAATGGCTGAAAACTTCTCAAAGCTGGGGAGAAATACAGACATCTAAGTACATGAAGGGCAAAGGTCTCTGAAAAGATTCATACCAAAGATGACTTCACGAAGATGCATCACAATAAAATTGTCAAATATCAAAGACAAACAGAATTTTGAAAGTAGCAAGAGAAAAAAAGCTTATCACATATAACAGAACTCCATAGGTCTATCCACAGATTTCTCAACAGAAACTTGTAGACCAGGAGAGAACAGGATGATCTATTACAAGTGCTGAAAGAAAATAACTGCCAACCAAGAATACTTTACCTGGCAGAGCTGTCCTTCAGAAATGAAGGAGAGAGAAAGACTTTCCCAGACAAACAAAAGCTGAAGGAGTTCATCACCACTAGACCTGCCATACAAGAAATGCTAAAGGGAATTCTTCAAGCTGAAACGAAAGGATGCTAATTAGTGACATGAAAACATATGAAAGAATAAAATCACTGGCAAAGGTCAGTATACAGTAAAATCAGAAAACTCTAAATACTGCCCAGTGTAAAGAAAAATATTTAATTCTAATAATCTATTAATGGATCAGAAAACTCTAAATACTGCCCAGTGTAAAGAAAAATATTTAATTCTAATAATCTATTAATGGATACATAATCTAAAAAGTCATAAAATTGTATCATCAAAAACACAAAATGAGGGCTAGTAAAAGTGCAGAATTTTTGTATGTGATCAAAGATTTTTATTATCAGCTTAAAATAGAGTGCTATAACTATAAGATGTTTTATGTAAGCCTCTTGGTAACCATAATGTAACAGGCCACCTTCTGCTGCTTTTCCCAGGCCATTAGCAAGGAGCTGGATCAGAAGTGCAGCAGCTGGGACAAAACCAGAACCAGTATGGGGTGTTGGCATTGCAGGCAACAGCTTTATCTGCTATGCCACAATGCAGAAGAGGAAAAGAAAGTAACTAAAGCACACCACTACAGCAAATCATCAAATCACAAAGAAAGACAGCAAAAGAGGAAAAAGAATGAAGGATCTATAACTCAGCCAAAAACAATTGAGAAAATGGAAATATTAAAGTTCTTACCTAACAATAACGGCTTTAAAGCTAAATGGATTAAATTTTGCCATCAAAAAACATAGAGTGGCTGAATGGATTAAGACTATAAAAAGTCTACTTCAGATTTAAGAGCAGACATACAATGAAAGTGAAGAGATAGAAAAAGGTATTCCATGTAAATGGAAACCGAAAGAAAGCAGGAGAGTGGCT